TGTGTGTGTGTGTGTGTGTGTGTGTGTGTGTGTGTGTGTGTGTGTGTGTGTGTGTGTGTGTGTGTGTGTGTGTGTGTGTGTGTGTGTGTGCTCAGGTGAACACCCTCGGACTGGAGCGCTGGACGTCTGTCCCTTCATCCCCGTCCAGAACGTCACCATGGACGACTGTGTCCACTGTGCCACCGTATTCGGACAGAAACTGGCAGAAATGCTTAACGTTCCTGGTGAGAAGACGTCGACATCAAACTTTTATCAGATATTATAAATAAGTTAAATCATGAATGAAAGGTGTGACTCGTTGTTTCCTGTCCCAGTTTATCTTTATGGCGAAGCAGCGAGACAAGAGACGAGGAGGAGTCTCCCTGCAGTGAGAGCCGGAGAGTACGAAGCTTTACCTGAGAAGGTAACTGTCTCCACAAAATCACTCCGAACAGATCATCGCTCCTCAAGATCCTCTATTGAAGGAAGAGGAAACAGTATTTTCAAAATAAAAGTCCAGAAAGTCAAATTCATTTGATATTATTTGTCCAGTTGAAACAAAATGAATGGGCCCCTGACTTTGGCCCTGCGGACTTCGTACCGGCGTGGGGGGCCACGGTTACCGGCGCACGCAAGTTTCTCATTGCTTACAACGTGAACCTGATCGCCACCAAAGAACAGGCTCATCGCATCGCTCTGGACATCAGGGAGCAGGGCCGAGGGAAAGACCAGGTGCATGCTGGGAGTCTGAGTTTACTGACATTTATCTCCAAAGAAAATGTCTCTGATGATGTCTTCTTCTTTGGTGTTTATGGAGCAGCCTGGGCTGCTGAAGAAGGTGCAGGGTATGGGCTGGTACCTGGACGAGGCCAACGTCGCTCAGGTGTCCACCAACATCCTGGACTATGAGCTGACGCCCCTCCACACCGTGTACCAGGAGATCTGCAGGGGCGCTGAGGTCAGAGGTCGACACGGGTTCAGAGAAGGGAGTTGTAACAATGTTTATATTCATGTTAATGCTTGTGAACGACTGATGGGAAACGTGTTGTTTTGTGTCCAGGACCTAAAGCTGCCGGTGGTCGGCTCTCAGATCGTCGGCCTCATCCCTCTGAAGGCTCTGCTGGACGCTGCAGACTTCTACATCCACAAAGAGCAACTGTTCGTCATCGAAGAAGAGCACAAAATCCGCCTGGTCAGCTGATGAGTCTCCGTCTGTAACTGTCGTCTTAAGTCACATGATCATAATGTTTGTGTCTCTGTGTCTCCAGGTGATCACTAAACTTGGCCTTGACTCTCTGGGTCCGTTCAACCCGAAGGAGCGAATCATAGAGTGAGCTCACTTTGTTAGATTTCCTACCTGATATGGACTGTCCACATTCATTTGATCAGATCTCTACGAGCCGAAAGTGTCAGAACATCACAAGAAACAGTTTTAGATCCGACAGATTATCAGCAGCTGACTGGTTCAGTCTGGTGAAACTCGGGTGTTTACCTGTGCAGGTACATGGTGAGGTCACAGGACGACTCGCGGCTCGTGTCTCTGTCTCTGCAGCAGTTCGTTCAGAGGGTCGGAGCTCGGACGGCGGCTCCTGGTGGAGGATCTGTGTCTGCTGCTATCGCTGCTCTGGTACCAGTTTCTGACTTAGTGTGAGACATGGCTACCTGCAAACACCTTGGTGACGGTGTTGTGTCTTATGCATCCTGCAGGGGGCGGCGCTAGGGGCGATGGTGGGTCAGATGACATACGGGAAGAGGCAGTTTGAGAACCTGGACGGTGTCATGAGGAGGCTGATTCCTCCCTTTCATCAGGCCACGGACGAGCTGCTGCTCATGGTGGACGCCGACTCCAACGCCTTTAACAGCTACCTGGTGAGGAGACGCCATGACCA